ATTCCATTCACACACAGAAGAAGGCAATTGCAAACCACTTCTGGATCATCTGCCCAGAACGTATATGAACAGGTCCCAGTCCGAGAAAAGGATGGAAGGATCCTGTTCATATGGACCTGTCGTCAGACAGAACACTAAATAATTAATAAAAAGTTTAAGGAGTTCATTGCGACAAGGAACAGACCCAGGGCCTTGTCTGTAAAAGTTGAAGAAGAAAAGTGTAATATACACAAAGCGAGATTAGCGTATCAAAGAAAACTCGCTTTTACATGTCCGCTAAAGCACTTGAAGATGACAGAGAGTCTAATGGGATGTCGCTCCGTGTAGTCTGAAAATATTTACTGACATTTCTGAGGTCGTTTCTGCCTGATACTTAGGACGTTCACGTATAGGGACGAAGGTTCGAATCCGGCCAGTGACATCTTTCGTCTTCAGCATCACCCTGTACTTGTTCTACCCGAAGTAAGGACGATGCTAGGGAAATTGTGTCCGGTGCTTAAGTAAGCACCACGCCTTGCAGTTGTGTGAGTAGTGGAGATGTACCTTGGCTTAACTAGGTGGAGGTAAGTGGTTAGTTTGACGTCCAGACGACTTTAGCCTCAGAAAACAACCTCAGTGCCCTTGTATGGGAGCCTGGGTGGGCCTTGGATTTGCCAGGAATCGAACCCACGTCGTCCAGCTCGTAATCTAGTCACTGTAGTGATTGAACTGGTATGGCTTAGGGCTTCCACGTTATTTTGAAGGCAAGAGGTGTGCGAACTATGGATAGGTAGAGGTATTTAGATTGCAAGGCTGAAAATAAAGTGTTTGTTGTTACATGTAAGCAGCATATTTTACGAATAGCGAAACATTTTTGTTATATCGATGCCTTGAATATGCAGGAAGCTACTGAGCTGTTACGAATTGGTGGATGTTCTGTGATCTCATGTGCCGATGGAAGAACGAATTGCGAGTATTTTTGAACAAGTTCAAGGACAATTTGTTATTCCACGTTGAATGTGGTGTATAAATTCTGTGGTGTCCTTTTTTTTTCTGCTAATACTTTTGGGGTCTACGGACTCGCTCTTGTAAGTCGTACATTACATGTGACTTCCAGATCAGCTCTTCGTCCTAAATGTAACTTCGCGAATCTGCGTCATCTTCTGCTTAACACAGCGGTAGGGTGTACTCACCCCTAGTTAATAATTTGCAAGAGACTGAAATTTGTAACTTTTGCTGATTTGTGACGTCTGCTTTTGGATGAAGGAACCCTTCCCAGAAGTTACTTCTATGTCGACGGAGATGGAAAGGTCGATGATGAACCTGAGTCCTGTTATGCCACGGGGAGACACAGAGGTCGTAGCGGAAAGACTTCCACGGGAAAGGTCATCGTGGTCGTTGAAAAGGAGGCTGGGTGGATTTGTGAAAAAGAAAGAAAATATCCCGATGGCTGTATCAGTAACAGTGTCCTGGCCGCTAGGTTAGCAGCGAGTGCTCCTGCTGGCATGGCCTCTGTAAAATATCTGGTTTGGTGGCGATTACCTTGGGCGAGGCGCTGGCAGGCTCGGTTATCTGAAAGACCTGCGGACTCCCGTACTGGTGGTGGCGTGTGTGACTCAGACTCTCTTCCGTTTCACATTGACCCACTTGGATGGCAGGGATCGACGAGGAGGAGGAGGAGGAGGTGGAAGTGACGGCAACCTCGGGGCCTCGCGCCGCGGCGGCACGACGGAACTTTGTGAATGAAATGTGCGCGGACACCCCTCTTCCTCCCCACCTCTTACGCTCCTGCTCGTCCATTCACAGTCATATGGTGAGCTGGTAGTGGAGGAAGGAGCGCGCCCTATGAGCACCGCATGGCTTCGGCTCCGTTTAGGTCGCTTTCGTTCTGTAGTCGCTTGCGGGCCGCTGCGTTCGGCTGTTTTGTGCAGACGTCTCCCTTCTCGGGGTGAGATGATGTAAGAAAGAACGAACGTCCTTGTATCGGGAACTTGAAGACGACGAAGATAATTGAGGACGTGCTGTTGGTCTTCAGCACGAAGGAAGACGAAAGGACACTGAGATTGAGGTCCTAACAGCGGTGGAAATGTCGATGTCAGTCTTCGGGGCTGTGACGCAGTGTGGACCAAGTTTTGGAGGAACATGGAATCACTTAATCTTCAGGGTTGAAGGACGAGATTGTGACTGCACGCGGTTGTTAATAAGAGGGCAATCACATGTAGAGGAAACGATTAAAATAAATTGCTATTGCAAGAGATATTTATTCAACGACGCTGCTTGTAATTCTGCATAGCGTCGAGTGATGTGGTGATTATAAAGGTGATTTCCTTCTGAAATGTTGCGCCTTGTAGTCTGGTTAGATATTGACAGGCGTTTCGAAGGAGCTTACTGCCTTCATCATGATTGCTAATAGCCACGCATAACGTTTGTGGACGAATCAACGTTAAATCGTTGCCTGGCATTAAATTATATGTTTTGTCACTTTCCGAAAGGATCATTGAACGCCTTCACAGTCAGACATTTGAAAAGTGATGAGTGGTGGTGTTTACACATGCAAATCACCAGAGACAAGAACTTGGTCACTCATTTTTATCGAATCCAGCGATCTTCCGAAAGCTTATCAGACGTTTTACCTGTAAAATGTCGTATTTGGAGCAGTGGGTTAATAAATTGGCTAGCCCAGCTTT